CCTTTAGGGAAAAATTCTATGTAATGCAAAAACTCCGTCCCCCAAAAAACCCGATCCCTAGCCTCTCGCCTATAAAGCGCCACGCTTATCACTACACCAAGCCGCCGTTGAGGGCTTACACAGATCCATGTATTTTAAGTTTTCTCCTGTTAAGCTCCCTGAAACCACCCTCATAACTCTGTTCAGAGAAACGCTCGCCAAATTTGGAAAGCAGATTTGAACTCAGCATCCAAAAATTCGTCTAGCAGTGTAGGTCTCATTTCAAATGGCCACTTCGACTTGGGATCCTTCCCTGGTAAGATCGGAACTCCTTATTCCCATCAGCACTTCTACAAATTCGAGGAACTCTGAGAGTTCCTCAAAGCGAGTCGTGGATGTCTTTGCCTTCTTCCCTACATCTTCGGTGTCCCTTGAGGCACAGTAAATGATAATAAGGTTTCCGGAACTCCTCCTTAGCATGTACCTAAGGCTCTCAGCGATAGCACATGACGCATTCACTGTATGTTCGGTAAATCCTAGATATGGCTCAGCAAGAACTCCAAAACCGCTTGGCCAATTCACAACCAAAAGTGGCATGTTACGGGACTTTGTTAAACGCACAGTTCGCGATAAAAATTGTTTCTGATATTCTTTGCGAGGACGAGTTTGAGGATGATCCATAACCGACATAGAGAAGGCATGACGAATCCATTTCAGCTGATCCACATTCAGAAGTGACCGTGTGGTGGGACCTTGGTAAAGGCAATGTTCACGACGAAAATGACTCCTGAGACTTCCTGGTAGGATAAGTGGTCTCCAGGAATAGCACATGGGACATTGTTAGGCCGAAAAATGATCTAGACAGGGCCTGAGCAGGGCACCAAAACCTGTCGACGCACACACTCAAAGTGGAAGTGTTAGACAGACCTTGATATTACAGCACTATCCACTGGACGAGACGGATAGTACGCTTGTGTGAGAGACACCAATACATAAGCAGACGGCGATCTTGCAGGACTCCCTTTATTTTGCTATTTTTCGGAATCTTATGATTTTTAATTCGCCCTCTTCTCGCCATCACTGCACTCTCCTGCACCGTGGCTTCCATTATTTCACTCACAATAGATACCTCAGAATTATCATGAGAATTAAAGGCACCGTTCACGATAAAAAAGTTTTCGAGTTCTTACCTTATTAATACTCAGCGGCCCCCATGGGTTGTAGAAGGGACCCTCTCAATCCCCCAATCTCGACCTCCAGGGCATAGTGGCAGCCCCGTTGTTGCCGTAGTTCGCGTTCCCGCCCCTCGATCGGTGTCACGTTAGACGAGTTTCGAGACAATACCGATTGCTATTATTCGTTCTAGGACCCATGCACAATCAGCTAATCGCCGAATGATGGGGCGATGTTTTTCTCCCATTCTTCTTTCCTCTGCTTTTCTTTTTGCTGCCGCGATCCCTTATTTAATTTCCTACTCCTAGAGACTGAAAAAGGAGAGCTTCTTTTGCTGTTACTAGGGTTTTTTGTTTATTAATGCTTCTAAGTGAATGAATTTTTGCTTACCATTGTCTGTTCTTCGCACCAGGACCCACACGCGCGCAGTGAAACACACTGTTTAGCTCGTTTGGACGCCCCACTCTTCTTCATTTTTCTAGTTTCATTCTCGTCCAGCCCCTTGTTAACGGTTTTTCGAAGCCTTTTTTCACTTTGGAAACACCGATGCACGCAGTTTCTTCACCTCAGTCGCACTAGTTTCGATCTTGTCTTCCATTTTTCAAATGTTTGCAAAACATAATCTGGATTACCGAAAATTATCGTGAACGGTGCCTTTAAGACCAAATTATTCACGCTGGAGCACCATATTGAAAATTCGGCTTCTAGGTTTCTGCTTTCTGTGGTCAGTTCTACGCAAAGGCATCAGCATAGAGCCTTCGTCTAAATCTCTTCCATGTCACTTCTATCACCATAATCTCGAATAATCTATTTTAGTACTTTTGAATTTTTTCTTGAGATCAGCCGATTTTGGCGCTTTGGTCACCTTTGCATTATCCTGCACCATAATTTCGTTCTACTATTATGCAGGGGATCAACTATAAAGCTTGGCTGCTGGTAAGAAAGGGAGTTCACTTCAACAAACGACTTTGTGTGTTGGGAACCTTTTGATTTTTATTTTGATTTTGAAGGACACTTCTGTACGTTTATGTTTACACCCCTATTGTTTTCAGATAATTTCATTTCTATGATGAAGAATTCTGTTCCTTAAGTTGGCACACCTTTAATTGTTCAAAATAATTGAATAAATGAACAATTTACATTATTTCACCTAAACTCTCTGTCTGAGAATCATGATAAACTCGCCTTCAGAAACTTTCCCTTTTTCCTCCCTCCCTCAGTTCCAAAGGCGCTTCCTTCTGCTCAAGTTCGGAGCTACGTCGTTCGTTATGTTGACTTCTTGAGCAGGTTACAGGTAATTACGGCATTTAGAGATGTTCCTTCCTTTCAGCGTAAAAGATACATCAGGTACGTATTTTCCAAAAGGGTACCGGTCACTAAACCCATAGCAATGGAACTTGGACAGAATTCTTTTACCACTGTGTTCACTCTTTTGCTTGACAAATGCACGTTTTACCAGAAAGAACAATTGAATACCATTCTATTTGCATGCTTGTGGAAATTCAGAGTTGGAAAGCTGGGATCAAGCAAAAAGGCGCAACAGCTTCAGCTTGCAACTGAAGATGGCGATTTAAAAACTCGCCAGTAGAGAAGAAGACGCAATCAAAGAGAAACCAGGAAGGCTCAAAAAGGCCAGTATTTATGAAAATAAGGCAAAATATAAGGTATATAAAATAGTTGGTTCGCGAGTCGATGGTGATTCTGGGTGGCCCAAGGTGTGCAGAAATGCGAGTATATTTAGACAAAGTAGGGCTAAAAAGTGCACAATGTTGCTAAGTCACGTGAGTAGAGACACGCAACCCTTTCCCGTTTTATCTGGCTCAAAACGTTCACACAAAAACCATTCTGAAACAAATAAAACGATCGCATTTGGCTGTAATCATCGGACGTGCAATCTCTCACAAAAAAATGCTATAGGAATAACTGAGTGATGGTTTTTGATGATTCCACTGGCAAGGATTATATAGTTCTTTCACGTTTATAGTTTTCACGCCGGTGCTGGCGTGAAAACTAACA